AAGGCCTAGAGAGCAATGATTAACTGGATCAGCTAAGATTAATTGGGCAGAGATCAGCTGACAAGAGCTCTCTTAAGTCTGAGGGCTACTAACCGGCAGCCACCGCTGAGAGGTGACCAGTGGGATGGGCAGCATTGTCCCGAAGTGCCACCCACAGTGAACAGTGAACTCATCCCTAAGGATGCTGCAGCAGACATGCTGTGCTGCCTGCCCCCTGGGTGCCGCAGGACACCGGGGGTGGAGGGATGCTAACACGAGTCGGCACAGCCAGGATACCCCACTGCCTGCGCCCAGCACAGGGTGGGGGCTGCCTCACTGGGGCCGCCGAGGGAAATCCAAGGCGAGTTTCTCCTTTTGTCTGCGTGCATCCCTGTGTCACCTCGGTGGCGAGGGCGGACACCCTGTCTGGCTGTGCCTCCTGAGCCACGATGCTCTCAGCCACCAAAGGGGCTTTGTTTTAATGAGCGCTTCCCCTGCACCCCTTGTTGGGGGGCCCCCAGCTCCACCTGGGACCGCAGGACCCTGCCCTCCCTCTGGGGACAGTGGGGGACCCTGGGGACAGCTGGCCCAGATGACATGGCACCATCTGATGACATGGCTGTCATCTGATGACATGGCTGCCAGCTGAGCCCGGCGGCTGCTCCCTGCTCGCCTCCCACCCCACACAGGGCAAGGGGCCGTGACGGTGCAGTTTTCCCCAGAGCAGCACCCACCAGCAGGGAAACAGCAGGGCAGGGGCCAGTGCCCCGCCCCCCGTTCCCTGGCAGAAATCCAGCCCCCAGCTTCCCCAGTGCCATCATGGGCACCCTGGCCTGTGCCTCCTCACCTCCTGCCCTCCCCAAGGGGGGCGACACAGCTTCAGGGCACTGTTTGGGGGTTCTTGCGTATTTCAATACAGATTAAATTGGCCAGCAGCAGATTTAAGGCCGTGGATGAGGGGGTCTGCTCCCCATCCCTACTATACTCCTTCACCATTCCCTCCATCTCCCTCTCTTCTGCATGCCAAAACCCACCATGGGGAAAAGCTGCACAGACAAGGCAGTGAGCTCTGGCGGAGGGGGAGGTGAGTGGTGGGAGAAACACAGGTCCCGATACCCCCGGCGTTTGGGGGCTGCAGCTACAGCC